CACATTGTTTTACAAAAATATTTTATCCCATCATTCAGGAGGCAGAGGCAGACAGATATTGAGTATGAGGCCAGGCTGGTATATATAGTGAGTTCCAGACCAGCATAAGGCTACACAGTGAGATCTTGTCTCAAAAAACAAACCAAGATGGGTGATGATGGCACATACCTTTCTTTAGTCCCAGCATTTGGGAGGCAGAGGCAGGTGGATCTTTTTTTGTTTGTTTTGTTTTTTTGTTTTTTGTTTTTTCGAGACAGGGTTTCTCTGTGTAGTTTTGGTGCCTGTCCTGGATCTCACTCTGTAGACCAGGCTGGCCTCAAACTCACAGAAATCTGTCTGGCTCTGCCTCATGAGTGCTGGGATTGAAGGCGTACGCCACCACTGGCTGGTGCAGATGGATCTTTGAGTTCGAAAATAAAAACTTTAAAATAGTCTTTGACCAAATAAGTCCATAAAAAATTAGAAATGACTCCCAGGAATCTATAAGGATGACCCCAGCTAAGACTCCTGGCAATAGTGGATTTGTAGACTGAACTGGCCATCTCCTGTGATCAGGCAAGACTTCCAGTGGAGGGACTGAGACATCAATCTAGTCACACGACCTTTGACCTACAGTCTGTCCTGTCTATAGGATGTACAGGGTGGGGGTGGGGTGTAAGTGTGGCACAGAGATTGTGGGAGTGACCGACCAACCAATGACTGGTCCAGCCTCAGACCCATGACAGAGAATGAGCCCACCCCTGACACTGCCTGGAGTGCCAGGACCCAGAGGCTGGATGGCCCAGAGACCTAGAATAGAACCAAATATAATTGGAGGGGGAAAAATGTCAACATAATGTTGCCTAACGATATTCTGCTATACTCATAGATTGGTGACTACCCCAATTATCATCAGAGAGCCTTCTTCTAGTAACTGATGGAAACAGATTCAAAGACCCACAGCCAGACATTAGGCCAGGCTTGGGGAATCCTGCTGAAGAGAGGGAGGGAGGATCATAGGAGTCCAGGGTTGTAGGGTCAAGGGCATCACAAGAGAACCCACAGAAACAACTAACCTGGCTCATAGGAGCTCACAGAGTCTGAACCAACAACCAGGGAGCCTGTGTGGGACCAACCCAGGCCCTTTACAAATATGTGACAGTTGCGTAGTTTGATCTACTTGTGGGACTCCTAACAGTGGGAGTAGGGGCTGTCCCTAATTCTTTGGCTGGCTTTGGGAACCTATTCCTCATGGTGGATTGCCTTGCCCAGCCTTAATACAAGGGGAGGAGCTTAGTCCTACTACAACTTGATATGCTTTGTTGATACCCATGGGAAGCCTGCCCCTTTCTGAACAGAAGCAGAGGAGTGCATGTGGGAGGGTTAGGAGAGGTGGGGGAGGGAATGGGAGGAGAGGAGGGAGGGGAAACTGATTGAGATGTAAATAAATAAATTTAATCAAAAAAATTCCAGGCCGGGCAGTGGTGGCACACGCCTTTAATTCCAGCACTCGGGAGGCAGAGCCAGGTGGATCTCTGTGAGTTTGAGGCCAGCCTATTCTACAGAGTGAGATCCA